ACCATGTCACGTGATGCTCAGTTGTGATGGGGTCGTCCCAATCTATCCCACTACGCGATATTTCCTGTATAAGACATTTGCCTATCATCGTGATAGGCGAAACTAAACCTAGAGGGTCAAATACCGACATTACTGCGCTGGTTACCTGACGCTTGGTAGGAAGTGTGTCACCTCTAACTACACTAGTGGGTGTGTTTCTAAGATTGACATTAAAGCCTAACGTGTCGCGTTTGTGATTCCAAATAAGACCTAATGTTCTCTCCGAATCACTTTTACCTAGCGTGGTTGTGTCGCCTCTACGCGTATCAGTGACGTCGCTAATTACCTCGGGCTCGTTCGACGCCCACTCGCGTAACTCGAAGGATGCGTTTCTATGTACTTTGCACATATCATTTACTATTGACTTCACCTCGCTTTCGGAGTTGAACGTGCCTAAGTAGTCGTCCATATAAAAGTTACGTACTGTAGCCTTCGCGACCTCGGGATGTTGATGGCTGTGATTTTCTGCGTTTTTATTTTTTACATAGTTGGCCGTGCATGGTGATGATGCCGCCCCGAATATTAACGACGTCATCCGATACTCTTGCGGCGGCCCCTCTCTATTCTCGCCCCTCCATAAAAATCGTAAGCTATCACAGTCCTCTTTTATAATTTTTACTTGTAAAAACATTTCTTTTATGTCGGCTACGACAGCAATACGACCCTCTCTAAACCTAATTAATACACCGAATAACGACTGTAGTAAGTCAGGGCCTGTTAATAACGCGTCGTTAAGGCTTTTTCCCCCGCATTTGGCTACTGCGTTGAACACTAACCTTATTTTGCCCTTCTGAGGGTGTACGACTGCGAAATGCGGCAATTACCAGCTGCGTGGCGATGTGGCTGGGGCGACTACTTTTTCAGCATAGCCTGCTTCTATAAGGTTATTTAGCTGCTTACTATATTCGGTTTTTAGGTTTTCATTTTTATCTAATTTATTTTCTAAGCTATATAGACGACTGAGGGCTTGTTTCTTATTGTTTGGCATCTCCTCAGTGTCTGTTCGCCAGAGTAAGCCCGCTTCGTACCTATTGATATTGTCCGTTTTTTTACAAGTCTTATCTAGAATAGCTAAGGCTCGCTGATCTAGGTCAGATGTCGGTCGGCGTGCCTCTATTCCTAGAGATTCTATGCTGAAAAAATTTCTTATGAGTTCTAATGCCGGGTCGGCGGTTTGTGTGGGCCGTACGTGATTAATTATCGCGACAGTATTACCGGGCCGTCCGTTGCGACCATGCAACACCCACCCTAATTTAGTTAAAGATGCTACGGGCTGGTTTTTATTACCTACGCGCAATTGCCTGGACGTAATTAAGTGCCAGTTGTCTTGGCCTATCAATATGGTCGGTTGCCCCTGTTCGTAACATAGTTCGTCCTCTATCTCCTTTAGGTGGTTGCACTGTTGCACTAACTCTCTGCTCACATTTTGTGGCGATAAATTTAAGTTCTCTATTGTGCTCGCATTTATAGTTTCTAAGTTTCTGTTATATAAACCGCGAATGGATAATTTCACGTGACATGATTCTGTGTAGTTTATTTGATTACCCCCTACCCCTTCTAACGTCAAGAGCCGTCCACGCCCCCTAGGAACAATCGAATCTGCCATGCCCCTTTCGATCAACGTCATAGTGGAACCGTGTAACATTTTATGGTGTGACGCTTCACACCCGTTTACCCCGCATGGTAAGTATTTGCATTTGACCGGTCGCCTGTGTGACTTGCTCACGGCTAATTTAGCAAAGTCTGCACATTTTATGACATTGTGGTTACCGGAACACATCGTGCATGCGTCATTTGATTCAACCGATAACTCGACTATCGGTCGTGATGGATGTGGTTTCGATGTCTGCCTTTTTTTATACGGTTTATTTACGGCTGCTATAGTTTTACGCGGCGAGTTGTCAATGTTTTCCGATCGGTCGCACGAGCTGTCGCTGCTCTCGTCGCGGTGCCGTATGTGGCGCCGATTTCGATCGTGGACCGTGTTCACCACGCGTGTCTTCATTTTATTAACTTTGCGGTCGTCCCGTGTCGTTTCGTATGCAAACATCGCGCCGCACTGGTCTGCCATATCGTTTAGAAATCTAGATAGCAGTTCTAACTCCGGAGCTTCGGTGCGCTTCGATTTAAATTCGTACCATTTATATTTTAAAATAATACTTAGCTTTCCTACAACCCTACTTACTATCTCAGGCGAGTAGAGATATTGCGGCTGATTGAGTGATTTTATTGCTGCTACTGTGTTAGATATTTTGCTTGCGAAACTACCTATATTGTGCCCGTCTTCAGTCATGCGAGGCATGCATTTTATATTTTCTAATTCGGAAAGTATTAATAATTCCGGCTTTCCGTAACGCCTTTCCAACGTATCCATGACTTCGTATGGGTCTGACACTGTGAATAGTAATGCTCTAACCGTTTCGCGAGCCGCGCCTCTTAACGTTTTGCGTAACCTGGCTACGTTTTGTACGTCAGTAAACATGCTTACTGTGTCGTTGAAGACGGATTTGAAAGCCATCCACTATGAAATCGCCCCGTCGAAATGAGGTAGCTCGTGGATGTATTTCGGTGCCGTTGAGTCCGATTTGCCTGAATTTACCGCTTGAACAATCGCGTTGGCCAGCATCGCCGTGTCGCTACTATTGTTGTTAGTATACGTCACGTCTTTACCAATGCGCGATTCGTGGTTGTTCGTGTTAGGTGGCCGTGCGTTTGGCTCAGAGGGTCGTGCTTTACCTAATATTGCCGGTCTATCGTTTACATACTGCTCCGAAATCCAATCTTTAACACGCGACTCTTCTACTCTGGACGGTGGTTCAGCGTCGTTGGAGTTTTCTAGCTCTATTCTGGCTATTTCCAAACGACTTAAAGCAGCTGCGGCTGCCGCCCTAGCCTGTGCTAATGTGGAATTATGTAACTCTAATTCGGCTTTTAAAATAGATAATGGACTATTCACCCTGTCCTCGGGGACATTTACTACTGTGCCCGGCGTACTCCTATCCTGCGTATTTAAATCATCGACTTGAACGGACCTATTTTCGATTACTGTCACGTTATTGTTACTATGCGTGCTGCGTCTGTGGTAGGCGTGGATTTGCCTGAACGTAATACACGTGTGTTTTCCATTGCGCGCGAGGGTCTCTAATCCTACTAATTACTTAAATTTAACTTAACTTATCTTCACGCACAATCCCTGACGGGGTAGCCAGAGAGAACTTCACTTTATCACTTTCACTTCTGTTTTCACTGTTTCTACCCTACCTACCTAACGGGTCTGGCCGGACTCCTATCGCGGTGTCGGATGCCGGACCAGGGATGGAAACTAACGAGGAAAGGAAAGTGGATACCTCCCGGTAGAGGGCGCGGGCGTTCACGGGTGCATCAAAGTGCGGTGGAAATATTCCACACTTATCGTTGCGTGCCAACCTGTGGCCCCAGAACGTAACCGCACCTTGCCGGCGGGGTCTATAATACGTGAAAGTACGTTCTTGATGGCAGTTAACACCACAAGGCTGCCACGTACTTGTGTTGTTTGCTTCCAAGTAATTAGCAGTGGTTATGTACGACCAACAACTAACACTCGCGCGTTCTTGTTTCTTACTTGTTTTCCGACGTGGAGAAATGGAAACTTCTTGCTTTCTTGACGCGAAGAGATGTTAACTTCTTGCTTCAGGCTTGTTGCAGGGATCCGGAACTCGAAGGACCATTAAACGAAATGGGATCCGCTACTCGTTTGACCATTAAACGAAGTGAGAGCTTTATGCAGGGCTCCGTATCGTTCAAACGCAGACTTCTTCTTGACCATAAGATAATGAAGTTAAATGAAACTATTGTTTATATAAAAATAAGCGCGGCTTGTGAAGTGTAGCTAGTTGAGGCAGTGTAGAGATGTTTGGATGCAGAGCGAACGATGAGCGAGTGACGAGTAATGAGCTGGTAATGATATGGGTCGCTCACAGCATGCCTTTTATTTCGTTCGGTCAGTTGCACAACTCGTGCAAGCGCCCGTGAGGCGCATATGCTCCATTTGACCAATGAACGGACAGGAGGGAAGTGTGCGGGGGTGTGTTTAGTATGACTCATAATTTATTTCACAATTATACATTTTCATACAACAAATCTTTGCAAACTATTATTAATAAGTATGTGGCACACTATAAGACATGCAACAACTCTCTATAAACAACTACTAACAAGTATGTGACACAATATAAGACATACAGCAAATCTTTATAACAACTACTAATAAGTATGTGACACAATATTATAAAACACACAACACTTTGCATAGGCATATAAACATTAATTATGTATTTGACAAACACTATAAAGACATATAACAGATCTTTATTTGGTAATAACTACTACAAATACATAGGTGACAATCACTATAAAGATATACAACAACTCTTTATAGGCATACAGAAAACATTAATAAGCTTACGTACAATTGTAAGCTTACGTGACTAAAACTTAAATAACTACATGATAAGATGATCTATCTTAAAGGATATTCAACATTAATAACGTCTTAAAACTAGGCTGTTATTTACACGGGGAAAGCTTTAAATCTGAAGAGGAGCGTCGTTCTATCAACGTCATCAGTGTCATTGCCTTTGTTTTTAATACAATAATACTTTTTGTATATTTTAATACACAAAAAGTATAATTAAATTATTACAATATTATTACAAAAAGTATAAGCAACATGGAAACCATAATACATTATACAATTTTTTTTCTTGTAAACACTTAAATTTTGGGTAGTTCTACGTAAAATTTGGGGAATACGAAACGATTATCTGGCAACATTGGAATTTGACATGGCAACTTAATACGCGTCTACAATTGGTTTGTGAAAAGGTCGTCGATGACTTTGCGATTATACAAAACTACAAAGAAAAAGTGTAACTGTTGTAGTGAGATTTTATAACAGATTTTTAGTGCTAAATATACACATCATGGCCGGTGCAATGTTATTTGAGAGGTCGCGCATCTCCTCGTCAAACAGAGACGAAGACGTCCGCATGACTGACAAAATGGTTAGCACTGGTGAGGTACCTGAGGATGACGAAGAAAATATACGCGCAAAAGAACAAGGAATTTTAAATCTTGGCGAGAAATACAAAAAAGAAGGCAAAGCGAAGGAGCTAGCAGAGTTAATAAAAGCAACACGACCCTTCCTCAGTCTGATAAGTAAAGCTAAGGCTGCTAAATTGGTGCGTTCACTTGTCGATTTCTTTTTGGACCTGGAGGCTGGCATCGGTATTGAAGTGCAGCTGTGTAAAGAATGTATCGAATGGGCGAAAGAAGAACGCAGAACTTTCTTGAGGCAGTCCCTCGAAGCCAGACTTATTGCATTATATTACGACACTGGTATGTTTACAGAAGCTTTAGATCTAGCTACTGCCTTACTCAAAGAATTAAAGAAGCTAGATGATAAAAATCTTCTCGTTGAAGTCCTGTTATTGGAGAGCAAAACCTATCATGCTTTGAGCAATTTACCCAAAGCAAGGGCTTCATTAACATCTGCTAGAACCACTGCTAATGCTATATATTGTCCTCCAAAAATGCAGGCAGCCCTAGATTTACAGTCAGGCATATTACATGCTGCAGATGAAAGGGATTTTAAAACTGCCTACTCATACTTCTATGAAGCATTTGAAGGTTATGATGGTGCAGATAGTCCAAAAGCTCTAACAGCATTGAAATATATGTTGTTATCAAAAATTATGCTTAATCATGCAGAAGAAGTGGGAACTATATGTGGCAGCAAAGCTGCTTTGAAGTATGCTGGTAAAGAGCTGGAAGCTATGCGTGCTGTTGCAACAGCATCACACAAAAGATCACTAGCTGACTTCCAAGCTGCATTAAAGACATACAAACCAGAACTCGAAGAGGATGCTGTTGTGCGTGCACACCTTGGGGCATTATATGATACAATGTTAGAGCAGAATTTGTGTCGTATAGTTGAACCATACATGCGGGTACAAGTTGACCATGTTGCTCGTTCAATTCGTCTGCCAGTAGTACAAGTAGAAAAGAAACTGTCCCAAATGATTCTTGATAAGAAATTAAATGGCATTCTAGATCAAGGTGAAGGTGTACTTATAGTGTTTGATGAATCACCTTTGGAAAAAACTTATGAGACTGTTCTGGAGACCATCCACCACATGAGTAAGGTTGTTGATACATTGTACCAGAAAGCTAAGAAACTTTCATAGACCTTAATTGTTGTAGCTCTTAAAGTATAAAGTATATATCAAAGTAAACTTAACAAGTTGTTCAAATATTTTGTAAACTGGAGTATTTTTCAGGGGATCACTAAATTTCTTTAACCATATTAATTTCGGAGGGTTTAACAACTGAGGTCTTAATCAGGAAAGGGGAAAAAATCCCTTAATTTCATAATTATAAAGTTTACTAAAGTGATATTCATTTTAATTTCATGAATTTAAATGTTAAAGTTTGAAATGCTCAGTACTAATCCATAATATGATTTTTAAAAAATCTTTTTGTAACATAAACTAGCGACAAATTAATAACATTCTGTTTTAATGAGAATAAAAGCTGTTCTCCTAATATTACTGTTTCTTTCATCCTCCGTCCACAACACTGAGTTCAGAGTTGGCTATTTTTAAGTTTTGGCTGACTAACTGGATATGTAATGCAGAGTAATCATATAAATAAAAAGTGGTAAAATGAAAAATTTTATACAACTGATTTCAATATAAATAAAATGAGAACATCATCAATGTAGTTGAAGCCAATTAAGTATGCATTATTTAAGATAACTCAAAAACTACTGGTCAGATCTTGATCAAATTTATATGGAACCACATGAGAAGCACCAGCTTTCAAATAAAAAAAGCATCATCATAATCAGTTCATCTAGAAAAGTTCTGGGATACAGTACAGTACAGTAAAAACAGTCAATTTTAGTACCTCCTCCCTTTTTGAAGTAGGTTAAATATAAAAAATGCTTTATGTACATAATTAAAGTAAATTTCCAATTAATGTCATCACATAGCCTTGTTTATCTTAGAGATTGTATAGGCATTTAAAAGTGACCTCTGTATAGCCATGTTACATTCTATAAAAGGAAGTGAGTCGGGCTAGAAGTTCTAGAATAGTATACTTCCTTTTTTGTTATTTATTGATATGATGATAATGTTCCAAATATAATTTAATTTGAATACTATACCAGCGTTCATTTTTTTCATGCCATAATCATGTCACAGGGTTCAGTTGGACATAATTCACATCAGCAGATCCAGTTACAAATTAATGATCAATTTACAGAGAATTTTAAGTTAGATTAATAAAAAGCTAGATGGAGATTTTCATAATTATGCATATGTTTAGAACTCTTTTCCCATGATTCCTAAAATACTTGACCTATTTCAAAAATATGTTTGATGAGTAATGCATATTTATTTTCTGCAAGTCATCTTAATATGA